AGATACTCCCTTATTTCTTTCCTCTTATCCTCTGCTTATCTTCAGTAAGGACAGAAAGCTGGAGAGGTCTGGGTAGGCACAGGTTGTAGTTCTTGTGGAATCCCCAGCACCAACTTTGTATTCCATTCGTGCGGCTCAGTGTCACAAGCAGCCTTCATGAACATCCTTGTGGAAATGTGAGAATTCTTCCAAGTTTGGCAGCAAATGAATTTCTTTAATTTTGAGGTTGAGTCTAATAGATATCCAAAACACTGTCACTGATAAGGTTCTGATGATAATGGTGCAGACACCCCTTCACAGAGTTAGTTTTTATCACCACTTCCCAGATAAACAGCCAACTCCCCTTTCTCAACAAGGAAAACTCATTTTGACATGTTACTACGCACTGACATGACAGATTTCCTAACATGCAGAATGCTTTGAAAAACCTATCTTCTTTTCAGTTACGGAGTTAATAGGTGCTTTTTCTGAAAAATCAAAAGTTCAGAAATGTTCTTACAAATACTTATGAGTGAAATGGGGTAAATCTGACTCTATTAATGACATGAGAGACAAAGGGGCAGGCTAAAACTGTTAAGCAAAATTGACAGACTATGTAAATACCCAGCATAGTAAGGACACCTGTATTACTTGGACAGATGGTCAGTCATGGGACTGGAATACAAATGAGCAGAGAGACTCCATAGACAGATGGGAAGGGAAGGTACCTCCCTCATCTCCTGGGAGCAGGGAACAGGCCATAAACAGAAACAACAGTCCAGACCTCTTACCTTCGCTCTCAGTGAATAAGAGCTCTGAGAAAGCTGCTCTATAACACAGTCATTTTAGAGAATGGCCCCACAAGACTCTAAACAGAGTCCGACCTTGTCTCAGTCTGTACAGGGAGCTGCTCAGAAACTAGGATTCCTTCCTGCGTTGACCAAGGTCACCAGGAGTCAGATAGAAGATCCTCATTCTTTTCCCTCCTCCTCTTCCTCCTCTCTTGTAGGGTGCCTGCTGGCTAGAGGCCAAAATGTCCTCTAAGGAGGAAATTTAAAGAACTTTAATTATGGGTTTGAAATTCAAACCCCAAACAATCTTGTAACTTTGACAGCAATCACCAAATTACCCTATAAAAACGAAGTACCACTTTACACTTTCATGAATAGTTTTTCAACACTTTTTTTTTTTTTTTTTTTTTTTTTTTTTTTTTTTGGTTTTTTGAGACAGGGTCTCACTATGTAGTTGAGATTGACCTGGAACTCACTATGTAGCCCAGGCTGGTCTGGAACTCATAGCAATCCTCCTGTCTCAGCCTCCCGAGTGCTGGGATTAAAGGCATATGCCACCATGCCTGGCTCAACACCTTTTGACAGAACTGAATCTCATTAACCTTTTTACGTTTTGTCAATCTTATTAGGCATATTATGAAAGGATACTGAGATTTTTGCACATGCTTATGAACTATTTGTATTAGTTCTGTAAGTTGTTTGTTTATGGCCTGTTTTAGGCTTTCCTCCTAAAAGCTAGGACAGAATACCCAACAGCCACAATTTAAAGGAAGAAAGGTTTATTTGGGCTCCTATTTTAGAAGTTTCAGTCCTTGCACAGCTAGTTGTAGGGTGGAAGGAAAGCTGCCCATGTTATGGAAGCCAGGAAGCAGAGACAGAAGGGAGCCCAAGAAGGAAATACACTCTTCCATATCATGCCCTCCGTAAGTCATGTCTTCCAACCAGACCCCTAACATCAAGGCATCTATACCTCCCCCTTAATTCAATCACCTTCCAAAAGGCCTACCTATGAATGCATGACAGTTTTGGGGACCTCTTGATCTAAACTATAATATGGCCTATCTTATTTAAAATGGGTCACTTCTCTTATAGATCCACAGGAATTCTTTATATATCCTGGATATTGACCATTTTAAAAATAAAGTTGTGTTACTTAATTGCTGATATGGATTCCACTATATAAATGCTTCCCATTCATACATATTTGGAATGTGCTTGTCCCTTGACCCTAGATTATCCTCCAGCCTGGGGAAAAAGAGTAAATACAGACCCTGGGATTCATCTCTAAATCCCTGATAGGACTGGTAGAATATAAGGGCACCATCTCATTTGTGAGGTGAAAAATGAACTTCTTTGTGGACTTAATTTTTTCATTTTGTGAAATGCAATCCTGGGAGAACCTCTCAATGGATATTTACAAATATAAAATACAGCTGAGACCTTTCTCTGAAGTGGAGATGTTGGATAAGTATGGTGCTGCTCGAAAAACACAACTGATTTTCATTAATACTTTTTTACAAAGTTACACAGAACCATAGTACTAAATTAGGATTTTGAGCTTTTAGGCACTGTAATTTATTCTTTTTGAGGTATATAAACAATTAAATAATTACATGTAGGAGCCAAAAACCCAAGACAGGTAGGAGATTTAGGCAGAATCTTCACTGTGATTCAGAGGAAGGTTGTATGTAAACAGGATTAGCTTGGTCAAGTTCAGAAGTTCAGTTAAAATAAAAAAATAAAGGATGACCTGAAGGTATGAGAGGGACTTAGAAAAGGCAAAAGAGAGAGGGGAGGAAGGAAAGAAGAGAAGATAAGAGAAGTCAGAAGGGAAAGTGAATATGATCAAAGCATGATATATACATGTATGGAAATTTCAGTGAAAATCTATTAACTTGTATAATCGACAGCACTAATAATTATAATAAAAACTGATCAACTTCAAGCCTTAAGCAATGTTAGAAACATAAAATAAAACTTAAAGAATTATTAACTCATAAGGGTAAGGAATAAGAAAGTATAGTAGATTCTTGTCACTTTGCACAGTAGCTATCTCCTGTCCTGGGGTTCACCAATTAATCTGCTATGATTTCCCTGCTAAGAGGACACCTTTAGAAGCCAGTCTCTCCTCCAAGGATAGACATTCTTTAGTATCAGCCTACCAGGAAAGGCTGTACTTAGGTCAAAACATAAGAATTTGGAAAGCAGGTTCTACATGCAGGATGAAGCAGAAATACTACATTCTGGGCCCTCCTTAGACTTTGAGTCTACAAGTATTTAACAGCACCATGTGACTGTGTAGGAAACCTGGCTTTTACTGTCATCAAGTATTCAGAGGCCACATCTCATGAAATAATTTTATTTTATTTCAAATTGTTATCAAAAACAAGTAATACTGCCTCAATACTATGTATGACCTCAGAGGACTTTGCATTACCAAGGTGTTCCCTTAACCTTCATGATTCATCTTTCTGACATTATTAGAACAAATCTACAAAAGGACTGAGACATATATTATATATTTATGCACATACAAATATATGTGATTATATATAATTATATATTTACATTATGAAAATATTTTTCCCAAAACCATGAATACACAGAGGGTCAACAACCTATAATTCCATTGCCCTGCTTAATCCTTTGTCAGGTTCCACTGAGAATTCAAAATCTCCTGCTAGTAACAACTATGTGCCTATAATAATGTACCCTGAGTGTAAAAACACTTAATGTTACACAGATCAAAAGCCTCTGCCACAGTAAATTGCATAATCCCAATACCCTGGAAAGAATACTAATTTTGGTTTCTGGTACTTGCATTTGAATCACAATGTTTTTCATTTCTACAAAAATATTCTAGCTAGCATAGTTGATCAGAGGGCAGCTGACTCATTCTGGGCAATGACTGGTACTTCATAGTCTTTGTAAAATAAATCTACATTTTACTGAGTTGATATATTTTTGTGACAGGCAGTGTGCCGAGTATTCTATCTCTGCTTTAATTCCCCTAATAACCTCTAAAATAGGCTGTATAGTTTCACATCACAGTGGTCAGAATTGAAGCACCAGGAGAGGGAGCCCCCTGCCTAAAGTCACACAGCAGGAGGGGTTATATTCCCACTTTAGGTTAAATTCTGTCCTACCGTGCTCCATTGAATTCAAAGAAGCACTATCATTACGTACATGGCCTCTTCTGTTCAGCACATTTCTTTGCAGAGTCAAGAAGTCTAGGGAATAAGAGGAAAAATATATTTAATTTTGAAGATCATAAACAAGCGAAGGACAATTAGGCAGTCAGCTGAAACTAAAAGAGCAAGAAAATCGCAAGAAAAATTAGCCAGATGGTCAAATTACCTAAACCTTATTGACTAACCTAATGTCCCAAGAGCCATGTTTAAAATTATAAAATCTGTGTGGATCGTGACAAAGGCAATTTGTAGAAAAGGCAAAGAATATGAATAATTTAAGCCCCTTCAGTGTTTTCATTAGTAAAATCAGGATCCTAGCAAATCATGACTCCTAGGGCTGTTGTTACAATTAAGATAAACGTGGGAAGGATGATCACAGATTTGTGTCAGTGTATGATACTTTGTCAGCTTTGAATTTGTTCCATGCCAAAGTCTGAAGATCCTCTGGTGGAGCCATTTGATGGCACATGATTATGTGCTCAGTGCCCAAAGCCTTGGAGCTATGAACTGAACGTTTGCTAGACAATGAGTTATTTGAAAAACACTGAAATTTAAAAAGGATTCATAGCCATCCAAGTCTGAGCGATTATTAATATAGTAGACTTTTCCCTAGAGAAAGCTACTTGCGGGGGAGGAAAAAAAAGAAAGAAAAGAAAAAGAAAATGCGTGTCCCATCTTCTTTCATCCTAACACAATAGCTGCTTCAAAGGAAAAAGCACTAATATACGCGTCCTTAAAGAGCACAGCCTGGGAAGTCGGCAGCTGTCGGAACGCTCCTCCCCTTGTGCTAGGGACCAAACTGCCCGCTGCGCCACGAGTGTCGGACGGTCCCGGGTGCGACCGCTAGTGCGCCAGTCTCTGCCGCCCGCCAGAGCGGCGGCTGGCGGGGAAGGGGATCGCCCGGCTGCTCGCCCGGCTGCCCCTCACTTTCGCTCTTACAGTTTTCCAAACAAACCAGGCGAGATGGGAGTGTCTTCTTGGCTGTGGAAATCGATCCTCCTACCTTGTCCTGAAGTCACCCGCAGTCTTTCCTCGGCCCTCCCTTCGCGGTGATTTTCCTGTCCCGGACAAGCGGCTAGGGCGTGAGTCTGGTGTCCACCCTGCGACCAAGGTAAGGGTTCGGCCTCACTCCGGGCCTCGCCGCCGGGGGGCAAGGGGCGCCCCGCAGCCTTGCTGTGCGGC